CATGCTGGGGATCATAAGGTTGATTCGTATCAGCATCAGCACCTATGATTCTCTCTAACTTAGATCACTTCATAGTACCTGAGCCCCATCAGGAAGTTCCTGAATATAAATGTTTTATTCTATTACCTCATTAAAAGAACTTTATTTTCAGAAAACTACTATCATTTTTTTCTACTCTGACTTAACCCAGTTACTCTGTTGTTTCTGGGTTTAAATTGGTCTCTTATTTCTCAGATCTGCTCTTATTTACCTACTATGTAATGTTTATGATTTGAGGATGCTAGTGTGTCTGTAAAATGTCAGGAGAGCTTAAAAGATTTCAGATATCCAAATATCACCAAAAAAGGAAATCCTTGATTTTTTAAATGTAAAAAGCAGATACATACCTATGAACTGGCATTGTACAATGTTGAAGTACAAAATAATATGTTACTCCTTAAAGTAAGAGTTATTAATTATAAATATATTAGCAGTTTATTGAACAAACTATTTGCTTCCTTAGCTAAAAAATTAAGTTTTATAAAAAATAGATATACAAAGACAAGAGATAAACCATCATATGAATATGTTAGAAGGGAGCTAACTTAAAATACACACTCATGGAAATTGAGCTATTGAAACATAATTAAGTTGAAAGTTTCATAGATGTCATGTTGTATTTTTAAGGTTATATTTTCCCAAATATGGTCTTGTAGAATATCAGAAAATTACATTAATATCTGCATTCAAAAAACACATTAGCATAAAACTTGAAATGGCAATTAGAGTGGGATAGCTTTTGCCTTAACTATGTGTGATTGCATAATAATAGTTACCCAAAATGCCAGTGTATCTTTGAGTATGCACCTTGAAGCTAAGCCATAGTCTATTTTTAGATGATGATATTACAAATCTCCACTCCTATTCAACGCTACATAATGTGCCTATTTTACACCCACACTGAAAATAATGCATGGCGTGACATGAGAATTTAGTTTTAACTCCTTTTGATTATGTAGTTTAGAAAAACTGGTTGATTGCAATTCAAAAAATACTTAAATTCATTTGTTCAATCTCTCTTAATTAGACTGTATCGCTTATTTTATATAACTTAAAATAATAAGTTTATTGCCGGACCCATTTGAACAAATAAAATCAATTAATTGGTATTGTGCTTCTATAGTGAAGACCCCAGTGGAGAGAAGGCTGTTTGACATGACAATGATGAGCTCTAGGATATGGGAAAAGACATTTTACAACATATATTTATTCAGAAATGCATTGCAAAACTAGCCTGTTGAGAATGAACAGTTACTTTACAGAACAGTTTCCCAAATCATATATAAGTTTTCAGTAGTGTAGTAGGCATAGAAGATAATTAACAGTATAAGAAATATTCAGAACCTAATAGACTCGCAAAACACAGGTAGATATACAACTTTCAGCCACAATTTTCCTGTCTTGAATTCAACTCAGTTGAAATGCAGGTTATTTTCTAGCTGTTAAATAGAGCATAGTTTGAATCTTTGTAGAGTGACTATTCTTAGAGTACAACCGGATTCCTCTTTGCATGCAAATTTTCGCGTTGTTTATTGTTTATCTTCAGGTGTCTCTCCTGCTCCTCCTGCCTTCTCTTACCCACTCCATACAAAATGCTAAACACAGTAATACAAAGGGGGGCAAATTACTAAACACAATAGTACAAAGGGGGATTTTTACAAATGTGTAGTACTTTCAGTGTTCATATTTCAACAACCATCTCCACCCACTTTTCCTTGTTGGAGACGACAGACCAGCAATTATAGTCCACCCAAACACTGCTGCCTACTTTGTCTTATCCCAGAATCAGCAAAATGAGTCTTTGTGGAAGCTAGACTTGCTCCTTTAGTGCTATTAATTTGTTTGGCTAAGGAGATCAATTTTCTTATCCACACACCCCCAGTTCAAAAACTTGACCTTATTTACACTGTTCCTCTGTATCAAAAACTCAAGTTGGAGCTGAGAATTCAATTTAATTGAACTAAGTCACTCCAAAGCTGAAATTTTTATAATGAAATGTGTGTGCACTCGCACAGAAAGGCTCACAAGCTTTAGGAAAGTGATTGTGGACTCTAGGGAGCCATTTGAAGATGTGGGGAATGTTATTACTGATGGCAGTGGTAATAGATACTGTAGAAAGAGGTTATTTTTTTAAGGACATTGAACTTCTTTTCCCTTCCTTTGAGTTCCTGCACTAATTTTGCCCTATTTTTTGGTCTTTGTTAGAAGCAACAGCCATTATTTCATCCAATCTATATATAATATATAAGTGAAAAGGCAAATGTTTGTTGCAGATTGCTTTATAGAAAAGATAACTTCTAGAGAATGAAAATGTTTATTATTCTTTTACTTGTTGGGTTTCCTTGCAAATAACCTATATATAGCAAAGAATTCTGATTATAATGAAGATGAGTATATTTGTCATTGAGAAAATTTCAGTTCCTAAGGAAATTTTTCCAAGTGACGTGCAGCTAGTTTGTGCCAACCTTGGTTTTATAAGTTATAACCTGACAAAACTATATGAAGCCGACTTCTGGAGCTTAAAAATGTTGGATGTGTCACAAGAAATGAAGCATTACATTTCACACATGTTTTTATTTTTTGTTCTTCACAGGCTCTCTGCAGTGCCACTGCTGACTTCTGGATGGCACTGTCGAATTTTAATAGTCCCAATTTCAGGCACAATTTGTTTTTTGTTGAAGTGTCAGACCTATTTTAATGGGAGTGAAAACCATGCAACTAGTCAGGTGCAAAACAGCTTAGGGGAAATATCAGATAATGTAGAAGAATAGAGATTGCAATGACGGACTTTCATTTATAGTCTCAACTTACATATTCAGATTCCTACATTCTTTCAAAAATAACAATGAAATAAACCCAATAATCAAAAACATGAATGTAGTTCCATATGTAATTCATTTGCATGTGGATAAGAAGGTATTTGAAAGAGGACATGATTACCTTAACAGATTAATAACTAAACCAGTACTGTAATGGTTCCAAAGAGGAAAAGGGCCTTTCTTAGGAATTATTTCTTTCATAAACTGAACAATATTGTCCAGTGTTGGCCAGCATACACCTTGGGTTGAATAAATTGTGATTGTGAGTAAGTACAGAAAAAGTGCCTGCAACATATAGTCACACAATTGTGGTAACAAGAGGACAATTGTCATTTGCTGTACAAATGCAAAGGGGAAAAAAATGTTAATTCTTACTGTTTCAAGTCTTAAACAGGGATATGTAAAGCAGAAAAATTTGGAAAGATACAAAACTATGATTATCTTTGTTTGGGCAATGATGGAATATCTAGCTGAAATTAACTCTAGATTTTACATCTTATTATTGTCAATCCTGTATGTTTCTTTATTGTTATTAAAAGTCACCTCAATTGCCTATTTATCCAGAATTGAAAGACACAGCTCAAATATAAAGAATAGATTACAAAATTTTACCAAATAGATCAAATAAATGATGAAATAAAGCAATGCAAGAAACTTTAGTGCTTTCTAAAAACAATAAAAGAATCATAATGCATAAAATTTTCTAAGTGTATTTTATCCCATGGGAAAACTCAGACTAAATAATATCTGAAACTGTGCCATCCTGCTTTTATCATCTTTCATATTGCAATTAAAATAACCATAGTAATAATTGCAGAAATGTCCTTCTGAAGAAATATTTGCAATGTGACTTTTATATTATAATATATACATACACACGTATTTTCCTCACATATACTTAATATGTTTAACAAAGACATTTTTATTTTATTTTAATTTACTTTCATGAATAACTTTAGAATATTATGGCATTAAATTTTTTTCAGGAATAAAACCTAACTTTATAACATCAAAAGATTAACTTATGAAGTCTTTACTTGATAGGAACCAATTACTTTGATAAGCAGGAATCATTTACATTTCAACTCAGAGAATATTAGTTAACTATACATGTAACATTTCCTATAAAGGTGTATGATGAGTCAAGCACAACTATTGAGGATGTTTACAATTAGCAAATTCTACTTTAATAATTTTTGCATGTATATATATATATATACATATATACTTATATAAGACTATATACATATATATAGTCTTAATAAACAGTAAGTTCCTTGAGAATATGAATTATGTCTCATTTATTTTTAATATCTTATTGTACTCTTAGTACACTATATTAAAATAGTTATCATTCAATAAATGCTTATTAGGCAGATAATTTATATTTTATATATGCATGAGTAGTATTAAAAGGAAAAGCATACACTTATTAGAAAGATAATATTTCATAGAGGAACACATGAAAATATCTTGAAACAATTTGTAACCATTTCTGTATTCCATGGAACTTAAATCCTTTTAGATAAAATTCCTTTTATTATCATATTTGTTTCCAAAGTGATACTACATCATTGACTCAATGTTTTTGTACAATAACCACTAGATTATTCCTTGTTCATGGACTCTTTCCCCATTTCCCCAACTCCTTTCCCATTTCCCCAACTTCTTCCTTTGAACTTCAATTGAATTTTGTCTGTACTTTGACTATAATGCTTTCTTCTTTTCAGTTTTTCTTATTATTTATATATTTTATTCATATATATTTTATGTATCTTATTTACCTTTCTGGATTGCTCCTTGAAAATAGGATCCACATTTGATTCATCTTAGTACCCCAGTAGCAATTCACAGAACATGCTAACAATTCAATGAATTGAATGGATACATAAATCATTAACAATTTATTAAGTACCCACTCAGTGTACAGCAGTGTGTGAGACCCTGAGGATACAAAGAAACATAAGAGATGGCTCTTGTTCTAGAGGAGCTTACGGTATTTAGAGGAATGCATACACGTACATCAAAATATAACCATAGGTAATTATGGGTTCACAATTTCCAATATTTTTGCTTGCCTTTCTTTATATTTAGAGTTTTTAAAAAATAAACTTCACTTATTAAAAGACAACTTACAAAATATTCTTCATAGAAATAGTTTTATTCTTTTATTTTTGCATGAACTGATTTCAAATTACAACTTTATCAAAACCAAACAGCCTTCAAGCCTTCATGAGACTCAGCATGAACCTTCTCTCTGGATAGGTGCACCTCGATGCTTACATTTCTTCCTCCTAAAAAATAAAACAATTGTGTGTGCATGTAAATACAACCAGAGGCAGGCCTACAGAGAGTATCAGGCATAAATTATAAAAGTAGTTTATTCTTCTTTGGATTCACAGGGTAAATTATTCATATGTGACTCTGTAAAGCACATTGAGTAAGTGGGCTATTTTCCCACTCGACTTCAAATATCCCCACTCCAAGCTTTAAAAGTACTAGCAGTATATTTTGGGGAGAAAATCTACACATTTCTCTTAGCTAATATCTAACTGAGAGCTGTCAAAGAAAAGACTTAAATGCAGCATATATGATTTTCTTTGTAATCATACCATTCTTTCTTTCTTTCTAATTTAATATTTTTAGAGGATAATAAGCATTAAGAACACAAAACAGATATGAACGTAGTAACTACTGTGAAAAGTTCAAATGTGGCATAAGGAGAGAATCAGATCTTCAAAGCTTGACCCTTCCTTTCTCCAACAGATATTGCCTAGAGCACCTATGTATTTTCATTTAAAAGTGCTGCAGTTTTTACCTCTTTTTCCCTTTTTATCATTATGTAACAGATTTTAGGCTGTATTTAAAGTTTTTAAAGAACTATGTTTTAGATGATAGGTGATTTGAACTACTAAATAGAGTATTGATGTGTGGGCGGATGGTTGTCTCTTTTTGCACTCTGCAGCTGAATGCCTGAGGCACTGCCAGGGAACAGTGGAATATTTCAAGAAGCAGGCAAGTCTGCATGCACCCATGCCAGCCAGCAATCGATCTCCCTCCCTCTAGCCCTCACCTCTGTAAACATATTTATAGGCAATTGCATGTGCAATGCACACAATACATACTACACAAGTAAAATTGCTTCTTCTGTATGCTTAAATTTTCTCAATGCTCTTTATATTTTTTATTTTTCTGATATTTGGATAGCAAATCAATGTACACATTCAATGTGGTATTGCATCTTGTTTTGCAAAAAAGTTGTCATATCAAAGCTAAATAATCTTGCAATCAATGGCATTTTAGAATAGAGAAAAAATTATGAGTATGTATATGATTTTCACTTTCCTTTCTTCAAGTTTATTGATTCCAAGATACCAATTTGGCTTTTTCTCTTCTGTTCCATTCTGTTACTGTCACTCTTACACATACATACACATTTGACTACATTTATGAAAGAATAGAAAACAGTGGTCTGCTCCACTTTACATAAAAAATACCTTCTCTAAAAATACTTTTAAATAATCTTGCAGAGAGACAAAGAAGGTTGCTATTTAGAACAACATTCTTTTGAATTACTTCATAAAGTGAAGGTCTTTTGATAAAAAAGAAACTTCACGTTACTTTTTGCTTTTTAAATATTTCAAGCTACATATATTGGATTTAGTAAAATTCAATTGCTTTATTTCAGGAATGCTTCTTGATGTATTTAGGTGCTGATATAGACACAAACTGATACCTGAGAGCTGGACACATAGTAGGCTCACAAACTGTCTTCTGTTGGAATTGATTTAAATGTGAAAGTGATTTGTAAATTCTCATTGTATATGCTTCTGGACCAAGATAAAAATGTCATCACTCCATTAATGATATTATTATATTGTTTTAGATATTTAGAAAGAAAGACTAAAGTCAATTCCTGTGGCAATGCAATTTTGATATCTTTAGGAAGAAATTGTGTGTGTGTGTGTGTGTGTGTGCGTGCCCGTGTGTGTAAAATCCTATATGTAGTATAATTCATATTGGATCAACAAATTTATTTTGTGAAAGTTGCAATATAAGTCCTTGTGTGTGTGTGTGTGTGTGTGTGTGTCTGTGAGAGAGAGAGAGAGAGAGAGAGAGAGAGAGAGAGAGAGAGAGAGAGAGAGAGAGAAAGGATAGTGTGAAGTATATAGCGAACAAAATATACAACAAATTCCAAACTAAACTTTATGAATTGAATTAAAAGCCTGCATAGAGGGCGTTCAGTCACATGAAATTCGTACAGACAGTTTTTCAACACAGAAGAAGGAAAATTGGTTTAAATAATATCTCAAAATAGCACAACTTGCAGCAAGTATATAATTTGTGAAGTAATTGGGTAATTAATTGAAAAAAAATGTTGAGCAGTGCACGAAGCTTGTCCATCTTTCAAAAACTGGAGCTCAGATGGCATATGGCAGAATATAAATGTGTCTTTTTTCCGATGCTTTGAATGTTAATTTTACAAACTGTTCTAGTTCATCCCTTTCATAATGGTAAAGATAAATTTTGGCTCACAAGAAGATATATCATTTAATACAGAGCTTATATTTTTGTTTTTTTCAAAATTAATACAAGTCTTATGGAATATTTCTTAATATTTTAGGATATCTTCACTTTCTTAAATTTCTTTCATTAATTGTTTCTTTCCACAGTATTTTCCGAATGTAGATTATACCTTAGGAAACATGGTCCTAGTCACAATTCAAGGCCACTCTGTACACCTTTATATACCTTTATGGTCTCAGTTTTCATTAATTCTCTCCATACACACCAAGCTTCAATCTCACAAAATTCCGCTCTTCCCACCTCTAGCCCCCATCCCCAGCCCCAGCCCACACAACATGTGCCAATCTCTTTGGAGATACTGTGTTTCTATCCAAAATGCCTGTGCTCATCTAATTACCTGGAATCTACGTTCTCTTATTTATTTTTACCTGCTCACCCTCCAGTCACCTTTCAACACTCCATTCAAACACAGCCTTCTCTGACACAGCATCTTCTTACTCAAGCTGAGATCGTTCCTCCTCCCTTTGAGTTCCCCTTGTATTTGCCCCATTGTGTTAGAGATTTTTTTTTTTTGATGAAGTGGTCTCTCTGTCTAGATTCCATGCTACTCAAAGGAGGAGGTCATGAGCAATTAATATTGGAATCTTCAGTACGGAGCATAATGTCTGAAATATACAAAATAATGCTAATTAATTTTGATAATATTTTGCTTGAGAAAAATAGTTGTTGTCCTCAAATAGTAAGGGGATTAAAAACACTAAGTTCTTTGAGAGGCTGAACTGGGTGGATTACTTGGGGCCAAGAGTCAGAGACCAACCCATTTTTACTAAAAAAAAAAAAAGCTGGGCGTGGTGGCATGCCCCTGTAGTCCCAGCTACTCGGGAGGCTGAGGTTACAGTAAGCTGAGATCATGCCACTGCATTCCCGCCAGGTGACAGAGCAAGATTCTGTCTTAAAATAAAACCAAAACACCCACTAAGTTACTAAGAATAATACATAATAAATTATAGAGAAACAAATAATTGAATAATGGAGTCATACGAGCTTAAAAATTGAGAGAGAGAGAGACAGAGAGAGGAAAATAACTTAGCTAGCTTGGTAAGCTAGCTTGGTTAGCTAGCTAGGTAAGTTATTTTCTTCTCTCTTTCAAGTTTTAATCTTACATGTCTGACTCCTTAGTCACTAATAAGTTTAAATCTTCTGCCTAAGTATAGGGGCTGAGAGACAGTATTTGAGCCAGGATTTTAAGTTTACCAAGGTTGACCTAGGGAAAATTACTTAAATTTGCATTTCTTCTTTGAAAAGTAAGGAGCATATGAATACCAGGCATGCAGGTTGGTCGTGAGAGTCACATGATGTCATATATGTAAAGTTCACAGGATGTGAACAGACTAATGTCTGTTTATTCAATAGACATTAGCTATTATTATCATTATTGAGATGGAGTTTCGCTCATGTCCCCCAGACTGGAGTGCAATGGCGAGATCATGGCTCACTGCAATCTCTGCTTCCCGGATTCAAATGATTCTCCTGCCTCAGTTTCCCGAGTAGCTGGGATTACAGGCATGCATCACCACACCTGGCTAATTTTTGTATTTTTAGTACAGATGGGGTTTCACCATGTTGGTCAGGCTGGTATCAAACTCCTGGCCTCAAGTGAACCATGTGCCTCAGCCTCCCAAAGTACAAGAATTACAGGTGTGAGCCACCATGACTGGCCCATGCTGTTATTATTATCACTACTTTTGCTCCTTCTTTGAAATTTCTAGTCTTTACCGTATTGGTTCCTGAGCTCTGTTTTGCATTTAAAAGATAATTTAAAAAATAAATAACCTTCCTTTGGCAGTTAAGACACCATTGATCCAATTTCTATCTTATTAGCAGAAGTCAATGTGAAGAAATCTTTTGAACTTAATCTATTTTTCCTTGATAAATCCAACTGGTAGTTTCTGTAAAACCCATTTCAGCTGGTTAAACCTAGAGTCACTGAGTTCCCTTAGAATAAACTCACATTTTTACCCTCACCATCGAAGTCAAATTTACCTCCAAAGAAGTTTAAATATTCTACCGTTTCCTTTCCATTTTATCACATTTCTATCATTTTATTACATTTCTCATGTTTAGTAGACAAAGAAGTTACAATATTATAAGCCAATATTACTTCTGCAAATTGATGCTGCTGGTTCACACATTAGCACTAGCATTAAAATGTTTAGGTCAGAAACTACCTTCCAGATGATTTCTCAGGGCATGAGGAGGCTGGATGGCAAGGACAGCACAGTCTACCCCTCCCTACTTAGGGCATTGTGGATATTACACTGCAAACACTGATAAAAAGCAGATGTCACTGAAGGAGCAAGAATCATTGAGCTACAAGGGATAGAAGGATGAGATGACATTTTCACCAAGTGCATTTTAATTCTCACTATATATTTTTTAAAGTTTAGTGGATTTTTTTTTCATTTCCTTCTTCAAATCACCTCTGAAACTCTTCCAGTCTTGCACATTACTGTCTTTGTGCTGAGAAATTGTAGTCTCATATCAAATTCTGGCCCCTTCACACACACATACAAAGGATGATACTTGCAGGGATTGTGACTGGGATACACTGAGTATCCCAGTGACTGGGTATGCATTGAGTACCTAGCTGGCACAAGGCAGAGGGAGATTGGGAATGAAAATGTATATTTCCTCCAAGCAAAGAACTGAATGTCTTAAATTTAATAAGTATAGACATGTTTTTACTTTAAATGAATGCATACTATTGACCCAGTATCTAAGGGGATGATGAAAAAATAAAGAACAGTAGAATTTTATGACCAGACGAATAAAGGAAATAACAAGACTGGGAAAAAAGTATATCACAAGTTTTGTGAAGTTGACAGTTACAACTTGTGACATTAGAGCAAAGTGGAAAAGTGGTTTGTGCTGTAAAAAGGTGTTAAATATAATAAAAGAACCACTATTAAGAGGAATTTTTAAAATCAAAACATAGTGAATTTGGGAGGACATTTCCTTTCAATACACAAAATAGAATTGGTGAGCTAGTCATCTGAAGTCAGAATTAAATGTTGCTGGCCAAAATAATAAGCTTAGATCAGGATCAGGATCTAAGCTTATTATTTAAGCTTGGACCAGCTACAAACTGACCTGAGTTCTGTGCAAAAAAAAAAAAAAAACATTTTTAAATGGAGAGATGAAGAAATGTCATTAATTTGTGGTCCCTGAAAATCAAATTCATGGCACAGATATTTTTGAATCTGACATCTGTCAAATAATAATTTCAGCTAGATATGAAAAAGTTAGTTTCTAACACAATTGACAGTGTTCCAGCTATGTTAGGTCAAAAATCCAGATTTATTGGAATTTTAAAATAAGAGACTGATATTTCTCTTACTATTTCATTCTTCTGTGTAATACATATTGAAAATATTTGGAACTCCACCAAGATGGTCAAATAGGACCAGCTCTGGAGTGCTGTTCCCAGCCAGAGTGATGCAGAGGGTGAGTGAGCTCTGTGTTTCCAACTGAGGTACCAGGCACATGTCAATGGGACTGGTAGCCCAAGGAGGGTGAACTGAGGCAGGGTGGGGTGCTGCCCCACCTGAGAAGTGCAATAGGCCAGAGGACTCCTCCTCTGACCCAACAGAGGCCATCGAGGCCTTTTCTGGCCACTCTGGTACTCCGGTTCAGATATTGTGCTTCTCCCATGGTCTTTACAGCCCACAGGTCAGGAGATTCCCACCGGTGGATGAGCACCAGGGGTTCCAGCACAGCTGGTGGGTTTCCAGCACAAAAACCTGCAAAAATCTTGGCAGCTTTTTAAACTGGCACCTGGAATGTCTGCAAGACAGAACCTCCCATTCCCCTGAAAAAAGAGGGGGCTAAAGGCAGGGAGCCAGATGATCCAGGTCAGATACCCCTGCCATAAAGACCACCAAACAGGAATGCACTGGCTTGAGAGTTTCACAGCCAGCACAGCAGTTTGAGCTTGACCCAGGATGGTGGAGCTTTGTGGTGGGAAGGGTGTCCACCATTACTGAGGCAGTCTGCTATTATCAAGGCAGTTCTAACCTTACTTGTGTAAACAAAACCCCAAGGAAGTTTACATCACAGCTGGGCAGAGCCCATGGCAGCTCAGCAACACTTCTACAGGCAGACTGTGACTAGACCCCTTCCTTGCTGTGCAGGGCATCTCTGAAAAAAGGCAGCAGCACTTCAGGAACTTATAAGTAAAGCCCCACCTTTCCAGGACAGAGCACCTGGGAAAAGAGGCAGTTGTGAGTTCTGCTGCAGCAGACTTAAACATCCCTGCCTAGCAGTTCTGAATGAACAACACAGCTCCCAGCACAGCACTTGAGCTCTAATAAGGGACAGACAGCCTCCTTAAGTGGCTCCCTGACCACCATATAATCCAAAGTGGCACCTCATAAAGGAGAACTCTGGCTGAAATCTGGCAGGGAACTCTTCTGGGATGAAGGTACCAGAAGAAGGAACCAGCAGCAACCCTTACTGTTCTGCAGCACCCACAGTGATTCCCAGGCAAGCAGTCCTGCAGCAGAGGGGCCTGACTGTTTGAAGGACAATTAAAAAAACAGAAAGAAATAGCTTCAACATCAACAGAAAGAGCATCCACTCAGAGATCCCATCTGGAAGTCACAAACTTCAAATACCAAAGGTAGATGAATCCATAAAGATAGGGGAAAACCAGTGAAAAAGAATAAAATCACCAAAAACCAGAACACCTCTTCTCATCCAAGGGATCACAACTCATCATCAAGGGAACAAAACTGGATGGAGAATGAGTATGACAAATTGACAGAAGCAGGCTTCAGAAGGTGGGTAATAACAAACTTCTCTGAGCTAAAGGAACATATTCTAACCCAATGCAAAGAAAATAAGAACCTGGAAAAAAGGTTATATGAAATGCTAAATAGAATAACCGGCTTAGAGAAGAACATAAACAACTTGATGGAGCAAAAAAACACAGCATGAAAACTGCGAAGCATACACAAGTTTCAATAGCCAATTGATAAAGCAGAAGAAAGGATATCAGAGATTTAAGATCAACTCAATGAAATAAAATGAGAAGGCAAGATTAGAGAAAAAAGAGTGAAAAGAAATGAACAAAGCCTCCAAGAAATATGAGATTGTGTGAAAAGATCTAATCTACCTTTGATCAGTGTACCTGAAAGTGACAGGGAGAATGAATCCAAGCTGGAAAACACTCAGGATATTATCCAGGAAAAGTTCCCCAACCTAGCAAGGCTGACCAACATTCAAATCCAGGAAATACAGAAAATACCACAAATTCCTCAAGAAGAGCAACCACAAGGCACATAATTATCAGATGCACCAGGGTATAAATAAAGTAAAAAATGCTAAGAGCAGCCAGAGAGAAAGGTTTGGTTACCCACAAAGGGAAGCCTATCAAACAAACAGTGGATCTCTACAAGCCAGAAGATAGTGGGGGCCAATATTCAATGTCCTTAAAGAAAAGAACTTGCAACCCAGAATTTCATATCTAGCCAAACTAAGCTTCATAAATGAAGGAGAAATAAAATCCTTTACAGACAAGCAATTGCTGAGAGATTTCATCACCACCAGGCCTGCCTTGAAAGAGCTCCTGAAGGAAGCACTAAACGTGTAAAGGAACAACCAGTAC